CCTGTCCATGGGCCATACCTGACCACGGGCCATACCTGTCCATGGGCCATACCTGACCACGGGCCATGCCTGTCCATGGGCCATGCCTGACCACGGGCTGCATTCCCGGGCTGCACTCCACCTTCCTGCTCAGGCCTGTGGGGAGGGTTGTGAAGAAGCCTCTGGTGCGAGGAGGCCTCATAGGGACCAGCCTTGACCAGGCAGCCAGGAGTGGAGGGACTGGGCTGGAAGTGGGGAAACGGAAGTGGAGGCTGGCCTGCAGTCTTGGCAGGAGGTAAGATTCTGTAGGCTGTAGTGGGAATGGGAGGAAGGTTAAGTTTTGAGAGATGTTCAGGATTTAGAAGTTGGTGATCGGTGGGGCTGGAAGGACTCTATAGGACTCCTGGGTGGCTGCCTGAAGGACTTAGGCGATGCTGGGGCCTTGAATTGAGATGGGGTTGTGGTCAGAACGAGCAGTGGCCTAGCCTCTCCCCTGTGTCCCAGCACCACCCACACCTGGCCCTCACCTTTCTCTGACCACACCTTCCCCATTGCTGCCTCCCGGCTGTGCCCCACCCCTGACTCGCCTGCCAGGGCACACCCACTCCTCTCAAAGTGCCATCTAGTGGCCATCCTCTCATCCTGTGGGAGTTACCTGTCTCCCCACCAGGCTGGAAGCTGCCTGAGGGCAGGGCTCCATCTGGGACCCACAGTGCTAGCACCAGGCCAGGCACAGTGGAGATGTCTGGGCAGCACCGGGGTTCAATAACAGGACCCTCAAACTCAGGGGCTCCATGCGACCTGTGCTCCATCCAACCATTATGCAAGAGCAAGAACCCCTCTCCCCACCCCACAAGGGCGGCCACAAGGTGGTTTCTGTGGACCTTGTTCCTGACATGACAAGACCCAGAGTCCAAAAGAAACTTGAATAATCATAGCTGATGCGTGTCGACTGCTCGCTGTGTACCAGACGCTAAGTGCTTTTAACTCATGAATCCTCATGACAACCTCGTGACGTAGGATCTGTGAGTATCCTCATCTTAAAGTTGAGGAACCTGAAGCCCAGAGAGGTGAAGGCAGTTGCGGAAGGACACACACTCATGTAAACGGGCAGTCTAGGGCTTCCCAAGCTCCTAACCGCTCCCTGCTACCCCCTCTGGGGGTCAGGGTGGGCTCAGAAATGGCAGAGGCCTGCTCTTCACTATGCAGAAATGAGGCCTTGGCCACCTACGGCATTGAGCCTCCGGTCTCTTCACTCGGGGTCATTGTTCCCCCTGTCTCCATGGGGGAACTTGTAAGCTCCCTCAAGCTAGACTCCTCCGTCTTCTCGTCTTTGGAGCCAGCCTGACAATGCTGCTCTTCCTAAACGGTTGAGCGCAGTACCCGATCAGATCGTACTGCGCCTGGGCAGGCATGTGTTTGAGGGGCAAGGGACACAAGCTAAGGTAGCCTTGGAGCTAAGGCATTCCGCAAGCTTCCAAGGGCCTTCGCCTTGAAGCGCATTGTGTCTGTCCATGGTAGGGGCCGGGGGTGGGGGGCAGGCAGGCGAGATAGGCTGCCTCGGCTCCTATTCATCCAGAGCCCAGGCATTAGAGAACTGTCCTCCCAGTCCTCCCAGTCCTCCCCTCCAGGCCCTGCTCCAAGAGCTCTCAGCCTGAGTCTCCAAGTGCAGGCTGAAGTCCTGCAGGGGGGAGGGTGAGGAGCAGGGAGGCCGAGGAGGCCCCAACAATAAAGGCCATCATCGGCCACAGGTGCTTCCTGGATCCACCTTTTTGTCTGCCTGTTTTGAATTATCTTCCCAGCAGCTGCGGCATCTCCTGGACCCTGGGAATCTGGGGTTGCCGTGGGGGCTGGGGGCAGAGAGTCTGAGCTGATAGCCTTCTCTTCTTCAAGGAGAGAGAAGCCCCTCACTCTTCCTGCAGGCAGGAGTGGAATGGGGGACAGGCTTCTCATTTCCTGGGGTGCCGCCTTTACAGTTCCCGAAATCATGGCCAACCTTCTCCCAGGGAGGGATGACCCCAAAAGGAATTCCATTTGGGCCACAGAGAGGAGAGAATAAAAGGCAGAGGAGCAGAGGATGTTCCCAGGCTAAGGAGTGTCTGCGTTCACCTCTGTATGGAATGTGAATTACACACACACACACACACACACACACACACACACACACACACACATACACACACCTGATCAATGCTTTAGTGCCTGCTATAGCCAAGTCCATTTGCTTGTTGGCCAACATTACAAGAGGGGTGTTATGTACCAGGCATTTCATCCATCCTCATGACAACCCTAAGTAGCATTGCTACTCCCATTTTACAGCTAACTGCTACTTAGACAATTTCATCACCTGTCCTTTGTCACACAGCCTGTTAGTTGCAGAGCCAGGCTGTGCGCCCATGTCTATCTACCTCCAGCTCAAGCGCTAACCTGCTTAACACTGTCCTGCCTCCCTGAAAAGGTGCTCAGTAAATATGTGTTGAAGGCATGAATGGATGGTTGGACGAATGACACAAGCAGCAATGTTAATATTTAATAATATTTCATTAATAATATTAATTACTAAAATATTTCATCTGCTTGCTATTTGTCAGGCACGTTCTAAGTGCTTTGCCTGTGTTATCTTACATAATCCTCATGACACCCCTATAGGGTCCGTGTTGCAATATCCCCATTTTACAGAGCAGGAGATTGAGGCACAGCAAAGTTAGGTAACTCACCCAAAGTCCCTCAGACAGAGCTTATTGGTTGAATGAGACCCAGAGCCGGAGATGTGCCCATGGCTCACTCCCTCACCTCTTATTAGTCTGGGCTCCAGTGTCACTTAGCAATGATCCTTCCCTGCCCAGAACCACCCCCCACCTCTCTCTGTCTCTGTTTTATTTGTCTCCCCGGCAGTCATCACCATCTGACATCCTGTATGCCTTACTCTCTGTCTTCTGCTTCAGAATATGAGCTCTAAGAGGACAGGGACTTTGTTTTGGTCACTGCTTTTGCCCCATTCCTGAAAAGTGCCTGATGCAAGGTAGACACTCAATATTTATTGAATCAGTAAATGAAAGAATGAGTCAAAGCTCCCCTCTCCATGCCAGACCATGGTTTTCCTGGATTATTCTCTCTGGCATCTTCTCCTGCCAATGACCACTTTCTCACTGAATTGCATCTCCTGGCCCATGTGAATGACATGCTCCAACACGTGCACCTCACGTGTCATTGCCCTTTCCAGCCCTGCCGCACGGAGCCCCGCGCCCCCACCCGAGAGGACCTCAGCGAGCCCAGCCCCAGTGACCCCAGCTGCTGCCGTCCCCGCACTGCCCTCGGGGACCCCCACCACCCCGCCCGAGGAAGAAGACCCAGCCCTGTCCCCACACCTCCTGCTCCCTGACAGCCTCAGCCAGCTGGAGGAGTTCGGGCGGCAGAAAAAGTGGCACAAGAGGCAGAGCAAACACCAGCGACCACGACAGTTCAGCGACCTCTGGGTCCGCATCGAGGACAGGTGAGCTGGCGAGGGGCAGGTGAGCTGGCGAGGGACAGGTGAGCTGGGAGCTGGGCGTCCTTCCCAGACAGCCTCCCTCAGGCCCAACCAGGGCCGGCGCACTCTGTCGTGAGGAAGCATGGTGTGTGGGTGTCCCAGCAGAAAACTCGGGGCTGGCTTGTCCCCATTCACAAAGGGTTTATAGAGAATACTCACACCTGATTTTTCACTTTTATTCTCAAAATGAGAGCAGGCACAATTTCCTCCCATTTTAAAGAGGAGGGAATAGAAGCTTCCTTCAGGCGCAGTGGACAAAAGTCCGCTTTGCCCTTATGTCCTGGGAGGCACCTGGTCCCATGAGCCAGAGGGTGAGACCAGGAGAAAATGGAACAGGCTGGCTGTATCAAAAGACTGTGAGCTCCCTTGTCTGGAAGGTCTGAGTGGCCCACGCTCTGGCACTGAGGCTGCAGAGGGAATCCCACTGTGCAGGAGAGAGATGGCAGAGGGTGCCTGATGCCCTAATGTTGTGGGCTCGGTCTCAGCAGGGCATGGGGAATTCAGGATAAACCTTGTTGAAAATGGGCAGGTGCAGAAACCATCCTGCTGCACTGATGCCTCCCTGTCCTCTGCCTGTGTGGCCCTCCTACCGCCCTGCACCACCCCCTCAGCCTGTCTGTCTCCAAAGCTCCTGCTGTAACCAGAATGTCATCTTCCCACCTCTGCCTCCAGGCTCAGTACAGAGCAGTTTCCCTAGACTCCGCTTTGGGGCAGGAATCTCCGTATTTGGTAAAGAGCATCACCAGAGCACCTGGGATGTCCCAGGGAATGACCATCAGTGCAGGGCAGAGTCCTACCCACCGTGGGAGCCCAGCCCTGGACATCATGCCCCAGAAGTGGGCCCTTGGAGACTCAGAGTCTTCACCTGGACCCTAAAGATCATCATCCAGCCTTTCCTCAGCACCCCCAGAAAGAATCACCCTGGGCACTTGTTAAACCAATTCCCAGGCCCCACCACAGATCTCGGTAATCAACACCTGCAGGGGCCTGGGGAGCCGTGTGTTGAATGTGCACTGGAGATTCTTCTAAGCAGCTTTGGAAAACACAGGCCTAACTCTGCGTTTACAGATGTTGAACCTAGGTCTAGGGCTGGGGGCTCATCTGGGGTCACACAGAAATCCAGGGCTGCCTCCTACGCTATTCACTGCATGAGCCTCCTGCAGCCAGGTCTCTGAGTCATCGACAAGAAGCTGACATAGTCCAGTCTACTCTCTGAAAGTATGGGGTGTGCATTGTCTTAAAAAGACTTCCAGCAAGTAGGACTCGAGTCCATTGCCCCTTTGGCAGCGTGTTGGCTCAAAGCGCCTGACTTGGGTTCTACAGAGCCCTCACCAGCCGACCTGCCCAAGGCGGAGGCACTGCTGCAGCTGTATTGGCTGCGACACATTTGGCTCCAGTGCCCAGCATGGGCCGCTCCCTTCAAACCTGGAGCGAGGGCGTAGAATTACTGAGCCACTTCCTTCAGCCCTGGGGAGGGCCTGCAGGCTGTCCGGAAGGTGCTGGCAGCCCATAGCATGCTCCGATCGAGCGGGTCACTCGGGGCCCTGATCAACGCTCTGGGCGATCATGAGAGACCCGGCTAGTGGCAGGTCCTGCCCACGGGATGACAGGAGGCTGGGCTGTCAGCTCCAACAACGGAACCCCAGCCCCTAACCATGTCTGAAAGGTAAATTTGGGCAAATGACTCCCAAACAGTTTCCTTTTTACAACACGTAGCTCTGAAACACAGAGCCTGGTTTCAGGAGAAGAAAACAGCTTTTATTTGGCAAGAGGGAGCCCTTCGGGGTCCCAACAGGTAAATTGTGGCTGGGTAGCTTTCTCCCATCTGGTTGGGTTGGAGAAGGAAGTTTCCACCAACAGGCGGCCTATTTGTTAAGCGTCCGCACCACTTCTTAGGGGATGTGTTCCCTGAGCCGCATGAAAGGCCTGGGTGCAGGGCACAGCTTCTGTCACTCCCGGGCCTCACCCCATCCTCTTCCAATTGTCTCTAGGGGGACCCTGGGGCCCATTTGTAGCCCTGCTAACCAAACCATTTTCCTTGGAGCTTTCATTCCATTCCGTTTTCTCATTTTCTTCCCCCTGAATCCCACTGGGCCATCCCCTCCTCTCCATCTCTGCTCCTCAGTTCATCTTCCACCTGGGATCCTGCAGCAGGGTCCTCACAGATCCCTAGCACATCTCCGCTCCTCAACTTGACACTCTTCGCTCCCCGCCACCACCATTAACGTCCTGCAACCGTGCCCCGTACGGTAGCTGTTGCCTCCTTTCCCTCCTCACTCACTGCCCCTTGCCCCCTGGATACTGCAGGCCGTGTCCTTGCCAAGCTTTGTGCCTAGCACCCTCCCCACCTTTGCACTTGCCTCTCTGTCTGCTGGGGTGGGTGCCAGTGGACGTTTGTTGAGCTTCTGCTCTGTGCCGGGCACTTGCATCCACCATGTCCCCAGTCTTATCAGGATCCTGCAAGTAGGCCTTGTTTGAAAAACGAGAAAACTGGGGCTCAGCGAGGTGAGGTTACTTACCCGAGACCATGCAGAAAGTCAGATGTGGAGTCAGAACCCACACCCAGGTCTGTCTAATGCTAAGGGTCACAGTCATTCATTTACCGCGCAAAATGCCCCTGCCACCCTCACCTGGCAAGCGTCTCCTCCGTCCTCACCATGCTGAGGTCTCCCTCCCTGCCACCGCTTTCCCTGCTCTCTCCTCCCCTGCATCCCCACAGACACTCGTGGGTGTCCTGTCCTGGCACAGTCACACAGACCGCAATTCTTCGCTTGTGTTTTGAGGCCGAGAGCCCCTGGAGACCAGATCTGGGTTGGACTTCTGTGCGTCACCGGAGGCATCGCTGAGGAAGGAGGGAGAGAGCCAGAGTGGAAGCTGCAAGTGCCTGGCCAGAGCACCACCTGGAGCAGGCTGGCCTCCCCTCGCCCCTCATTACCCGAGATGTAAACACAAGGGAGGAAGTTTAGAGAAGCAGAAGCCCGTGGCAGGATGATTTATGGGGACCCGTGGAAAGGGCCAAGCCTGTGTCCGCAGATGGCTGCACAGTGGTGGTAGAGTACTCCCAGGAACCCCCACATCTGAGAGCCAGGAGGAGGCAGCAGGGCAGGGACCATTCCCGTGCTGGCCACATGCATGGCATTACCCCAATGAGGTAGGACCTGTGACAATCCTCAGTTTCTCCTTTTGTGCAATTAGGGTCTTGACTGGTCTCTGCAGGTCATGCCAGCTCTGTTGTTCTCCGAGTCCCCAGGTGGTGTGTGTGTGTGTGTGTGTGTGTGTGTGTGTGTGTGTGGTGTGGAGGGCTGGATAAACAAGGGAACAGGGTGCTGAACCACCAGGATTGGAAGGACAGTCATGATAGGGCAGCTGCAGGGAAAAGCTGGACATGGCCAGAAGCAAGGCACAGCGGGGAGCATCAGTACGTGATGCACCCAGAGCCTCGTGGGTGCAACCATGCAGGGACAAGGGGTGCAGGACACACAATGTGCAAGGAGTCGTTGCCTTCTGAGCCTCAGTTCCCCCTGAAGTTTGAACAGATGACTAGAGCCCTCTCAGAGTTTCAGCCCCTGGGCTCCTGGGCCAGCTCTACACCCCTCCTGCAGGCCGGCCTTCCTGCCCTAAAGTTCTCCGGCTCTGGTTTCTCCTACCACAGCCAGGCCTTCTCTCTGGTCCAGGGTGGTCAGCATTACTGCGAGAGGCCAGGACTCTGTCTGATTAGAGATAGAAGATGCCCCATGATTTACAGGAAGCAGGAATAAAAGTAAATAAAAGCACAGATAAATTCAGGCGGAAGGGGATTCAAATTCCTGCCCCTCTTTGTACTTAAAGGGTAAATGAGATGGTGCTTGTAAAGTGGTAAGCCAGCATCAGACCACTGGTGACACTCAGTAACAGTTGTCTCCAGTGTTGGTAGCCAGACTGTGAGCCTTTGACCCTCAGAGTCTGGTCTATGATACCCCACCCTCCATGCCCCCAGCAGGCACTGCTCATGGGCCTTCAGCATTAAATGAGCCACTGGGTGGATGCTGCAAACTCCCCCCACCCCATTTAACAGCAGCTCACTGGCCACAAGCTGGGTGCTCAGCCCCGTGTTAAGTGCTGGTGGGGACCAGAGCAGGAAGAGTCTCAGGTCATGGCCAGACAGGGACAGCTCCACATTGTGATGCAGCTGAAAGAGCCCTAAAGCCACGGTAGGTCTGCTTGTGCCTGCGAAGGAATCCAGTCAGCAAGGGCTGGAGAGCCTGGGGCCCTGGAGGTCAGACGTGATCCTGGAGGCTGAGGGGAGGGTGAAGGCACTCCCAGCAGAGAAGACCATATGGCCAAAGGCGTGGAGACTAGTGCAGACCTTAGATAGATACCAGGACACTGAGCTGCAGGCAAACGCATTGCTTTAGATCGCTGCCTATGTCTGACGTGCTTGGCCCAGAGAGGCTGAGCCCAGGCTGGAAGCACAGTGAGGTCTCCTCCAGCGGATCACATCAAGAACTCCACTTCCAGGCAGTAGGGCCACCCATCTCCCAGGCTCCATCTCCCCTTTATCTCCTCAGAGCCCACTCAGAGGCCACCCAGGGCACAGCCCCTTGTGTTGGCAAGAAAGCCACAGCCCTGAGACTCCTAGAACCCAGCCCTGGATGGCTCTTAGAGACCGTCTCAGAATGAGGTTGGCCCCCTGCTCCAGGAAACCCTGCGGAGGGGCCCCAGGGGACAGACCGCTGACACTGTCTCAGGCACCAGCCCTGCTTTTCTGTGCTTTATACTGTACTTTGGGACGGGGCTTCTGCCTCCCCCTCCCCCTGGGCAGAGGGGCCCTTCCCCACTAGAGGGGCCCTGTCGGCTCAGAGCAGACTTAGCCCCTTGGTGCCAGCCGTCTGCGGAGCCTGGGAACATTCAGAGTGTTTGGTTTGGCTTCGAAGACCCTTCGCCATGAGACAGTTTTCCCAGCATGGGTCAGCAGGGGCGGGGGGTGCATGGAGGGATCTGGACTGGGGGACTAAGCTTTGTGAGCAGAGAAGGCAGGGAGGCGGGGCATTTGGAGGGGCTTTCTGCCCCCGCCTGCCACCTCCCCCCATTTCCCTGGGACTCCTTCCAAGCAATAAACCCCACTCAGGCTCCAAGGGTTGGGGGGGCGGGGAGTGCATCTTTGGTTTTCAAAGTGTAAAATCAAATGCCTTGGGCGCCTTGTGAAACATACTTTTCATAAGTCCTACTTGGTCTTCCTTCTGACGGCTGGTGGGGCTGGCTGTGGCCAGCCCGGGCCCCCATCCCGGGCACACCAACCTCCTCTCCTGAGGCCTAGCCTCCCTGCTGCTCAGGCTGAAGAGATGGGGCAACAGCCTGGAGGAACTTTCACAGACTTCTGTGTTGTGTGCAAGGGTGGGGGCCTTTTCACTAGAAAAGAAAGGGAGGGAAGGGGCTGAGGTAGTGCTACCTTTCTAGGCCGGGTTTGCGAGAGCTCAGCAGGAAGCAGCACACTTCCCCCCTGTGCCCTCCAGCACCCATTTGCTCACTTGTGCAGTTAGGAGAGCACCTAGGCCAGGTCGAGCTGGGGAGCCAGGCTGCCCAGGGCCCATCTGTGTACTGGTCTCCTCCAGGCTAAGTTTTCTCACCTTGGAAATGGGAACAATAATAGATGGCACACGGATAGCATCAAGCACAGTGTCTGCCTGCACATAAGAAGCACTCCATAAATGGAGGATGTTATTAGGTGGGGAGACACAGATGCCAACATATTAATTATGATGCTAAAAATAGCCGACACCATGTAGCGCTTCTGGTGTGCCTGGCACCATTGTAAGCACTTCACAGCAATCCAGCCTAACCTCGTGTGCACAAATAAGTGCCTGTGACACAATATGATCAGTGAGGAATGTACAATGTTTGATGGGAGCCTGAAGTCTCCCAGGTGGCATTGGGGGATAGAGGACAAAGAGGACCCTGGGTGAGAGGACAATGAGTCAGCATTCAGAGGTGAGTAGGAAACTGGCCACAGGACATTAGATGTGACTGGAGAGGGTGGTGTGTGCTGGGAAAGAAAAGCAAAGCCAGCAAAGGTGAGGTCAGCAGCACAAGACCACAACAGGTATCCAGTGGCCTGAAGCATGGGATGGGAAGCAGACTAGGCCAGATTTTATGGGTTATCAGGGGCATTCAAAGCCACCTGATCTGCCCCTCACCTCCCCTTCCAAATGCACTCTGATTCAAGAACATCTTTCTTCTGTCCCCTGCGCATGACAGGAGTTGCTCCCTTTTCTCTTAATAGGTCCTCTGGGAGTTTCTAAAGACAGGCGCACAGATTCCCGGTTCAGAGAAGCCTCATACAAGGACTTGGCAGGTTCTTGTGGTCAGAATATGACCAGGAGTAGAAAGGGAGAGGCCAGGCAGGCAGTGAGCACCCTTCCATGACTCAGGGCATCTGGACCCCTACTCCCAGAGCAGAGGTCCCAGCCCATATGAAGGCAGGGCTGTGCTTGGTGACCCTAGGCTCCCCTGCTCACCCATCTTCCAGGCTGAGGCTGAACCAGGCTGTGTAAGAGGCATCCAGCCAGGATGGTAGTGGGGCTGGGCTATTGCAGTGACGATAGCAGACCTCACCCTGGTGATTATGGTCGATTGCTGGGGCGTTGTGCCCAACACATGGAAACTCAGGCCAGGGTGGGGCAGGAGGACTCCCAAATGACCCAGGGAGTGAGCAGCTTCTCGGGCAGGGAGGGTAAGCCCTGGAAATCAGAGTTGTGTCCCACATGGAGGAGGCTGCTCACAGTGCAGACCTCGGGGAGGGGCACGCTGCCTGCCCATTCAGCAACTGCTAGTGGACACCTACTGTGTGCCCTCTGCCAGGTGTCCTGAAGCAAGTGACTTAACCCCTTTGTGCCTCAGTTTCTTCAAAATTAAAATGGGGGATGATAGTCGTATCTGCCCCATAGTGTTGTCATGAGGATTAGAGGTTAATGCATGCAAAGTATTTCGCCAAGAGCTGGCACAGGGCCCTGATCTGTAGGTATTTCTCTAGCCTTCTGGGAGCACCCTCGGCCATGTGCAAGCTAGACTCCCGGCCTTCACAGTTGGCCGTGGTGTCACCTCTTCTGGGAAGCCTGCCTGGATCGAAGCCCCGCTTTGTCCCCCTACCCCTGGGTTTCCCCTTCCATCCTTGCCCCTCTGGTGTGATGGGGCTTGTTGGGTCCTCTGTCTGTGTCTCCATCTGCCTCCCACCGCCCAGGGCTCCACAGGACACCTGGGTCCGTTGCTCCTGGGGCCCAGCCACTTTCTTTAAACCAGCACATTAACCTTCTTAACCCTGGTGACCTCTCTTTCTTGTGTCTCTGTCATTGTCCCCTCCCTTCCTCAGTCCCTGTGCCTCTCTTTGTTCATCATTTCCTATCTCTCTTTCCAGGACTTGAGCCAGTGACCTGGTCCTGCACCTGCCTGGCCCCCATCCTATGCACCATTCCCCAAGCCACCAAGTGCTAGCCTCAGCCTGCCAATGCCTTCTGCACTTAATCTCGTTTTCTTTGTCTCTGTCTCACTCTTTCTCTCCGTCTCTCTCCCTCCCTCTTTTTCATATATGCTTTCTTGAGCCAAGACCCTTACCCATTACCTCCAAAACTGGATTCCATTTTTATAAGTTCGTGAAGCCCTGCGCCTTTCACTAAAACTCCCCGTGGTTATGCAAAATGAGACCGACTGCGGGGCTCCTGCCCCAGGGAGGCGCCACCCCCACTTCCTCTGTGACCTGGTCACCATGTAACCTCTCTGAGCTTCAGTTTTCTCGTTTGGTGAAAGGGTGTTATGACTGCCATTGTGAAAATTTGTTTTGAGAGCCAAAGATAACTCTCAACAAATGGTAGGCGGGATAACGAGATGGGAGGGGGTTGTTTGTGTTTCGTTTTCTGTTCATTTGAGACAGAGGAGAGGAGGGCAGCAGGAGAACCAGGACACCTATGTAGGTAGGTGTGGAGGCCGCTGTGACCCCAGATGGAACCCTCTTTAATTCTTTCTGCCTAGGACCCAGTTCTCCCCAAGTGGTCACATTTGAGGCCTCTGGCCGCCAGTGCCTACCCCACCCCTGAGCTTGGCATATTAGGCTGAGTGCGGCCTCAGGGGCTCAGCCAGCTGGCTGCGGAGCTCTGGGTTGCTCACTTTCCCTGTCTGAATCCCTTGTTTCCTTCTCCATTTTATTAGGAAAAAAAACCTAATAAAGTCCAATCTGAACCCTAAGACCACAGCGCAGGATGGGGCTACTGCACGGTCACTCAGCGTTTCATGTGTTTTCTCCTTCCAGCACCACTGCCTCCCCGCCCCCGCTGCCCCTCCAGCCCACGCATAGCTCCGGGACTGCCAGGCCCCCCTTCCAGCTCGCCGACCAGCTCCAGCAGCAGGAAGAACCAGGGCCAGCCAGCAGCTCAGTGCCTGCCCGCTCACAGCCAGCCCTGGGCCTCCTACCCGCCATCGCTGCCAGCATCGCAGCCCCCTTCCTGCTGCACACCCTTGGGCCCTCATGACCTTCACTGCCCCATGCAGAGAAGCCAGAGAAACCATAGGAGGGTCTGTGGCCACACCCCACTGCCCCTGCCACCACCTCCAGGGGTGCCTGACACCTCATGGGCAGTCCAGACGGGATCCGTTAGAACACTAGAAGCTTTATTGTACCCGAGTTACATCTTCTTTTTTGTAGAAGGATCTTAATTTCCCATAGTGCTATGGGGCTCTTTTGTAAAATATGTGTCCATATTAAAGAAGAAAAATGTATTTATTCTACCGATAAAACTATTTTTATGTGGCCTATGTTAATAACCCCTTAATTAGCCCCAATGTCAACCCAGGTTGTCAGGACATCTGCGACCTCATGCGAACCGTGGCTTTGAACTGGCTTGCTCCTGGATCAACGGAAGCCTCCAGTGTCTGGGTTTGGCTTCTCCCACTGTGGGGACCTCAGAGGGAGGGGCAGGAAGACAGACTTTCGTGAAGCTGGATTTGGGAGCCAGAGATGTGAATGCTGACGGTCCTTCCCTCCCCTGGATGCATACTAGGGTGGGGAAGATACTTTAGGAAAGAATGCTGCTATTTTGAAAACCCTGGGTGTCTGTGAATGGACCTCCAGAGCTCTTGGTAAGTGTTTCAACCAAAGCACTGGGGTGGGACGCTGGTGCTGAGGGAGGTGGTCCCCCAGCCCCATGTGACTGAAGGTGAAACTCAGATCCAAAGAGAGGAAGGTGGTTGCCCAAGATCACAAAGCACGTGGGAGATCCAGGATGTGAATCCAGACCTCTCTGTTCCGATGGCATTAACCCAGCTTTAGTTACAGGAGAGGCTACTGAAATCAACGCCAAATGGAGGGAGCTGGGCCGAAAGACAGGAGTGGGTACAGAAGGTCAATTTTAGGGATACGGGCTCTAGCAGTCACGTGTTAATCATAATCATAATGAGAGCCACCGTCTGTCCTCAGCTTGCAGTGTGGCAGGCACTTTGCACACTCACTTTATCACTGATCCTCACGCCAGTTCTGTGAGATGCAATTATCCCCATTTCACGTATGAGGAAACTGAGACTCCTAAAGAGGTAAAGGGACTTGTTCAAGGTCACCCAGCCAGGACATGGCTCCAGATCGATGTGATTCAAAATCAGCGCTTGTCCCCTGGACCATATTCTGCCACGTTCTTTCTGCACAGGGGAGCTCCGTGGGAGGCGGGCCTCACCTAACGGGCTAGCACACGCTTCGCACTACAGCCAAAGAGACTGTTCGGCCACAGTTACTTATGTTGGTCACTCTGGACAAAGAGCTCTTTGTGAGTGCCATGTGTCCCATGCCCCACCTTACCTTATCCTGGAGCCAATAAGAAGCTTTCCTGCCAAATCAGAGGCTAAGGAGTAGGGGACACCTGTGGGGGACCTGGGGAGTCAGACAGCCAAATGGGGGCAGGTAGGCCACTGAGACTCAGAGAGACTGACTTAGTTTCTCTGCCTCCAAGGTGGTGGCTGAGAAGGCAGAGAGCCCAATTTAGCTGCCTTTCAGCCCTGAACCCTCACTGGGCTGGTGGCTCATCTACTACAAGGTCCTGGAACCTGAGAGCAGAAAGAACCCCTCATTTGACAGATAATAGTAACCATAAGCGTTATTAGGCCCATAAGGCCCAGAGAGGGGAGGCATTTCCCCAAGGCTGCACAGCTGGGTGTCTGCTGACTCCCAGACCAGTTCTCTCCAGCATCACTGCACCATGGGTTTCCCTGGCAGGCCTGGTAGTGGCTGATTAACTCTAGTGTCATCATGCCTAGCTAGGCAGCGATCTCTCTTCTGCAATGGTAGAATTCAGGACAGCTCGTTGGATGGCCAGGGGTCCCACTGGCATCTTGGCAGGCAGCTGAATTCTTTTCAACTTAGCCCCAGATGGATGTGTTTGAGCTTGAGAACCAGCAGGAGGCCTGAGGGTCCAGCCAGCCCCGTGGGTACCATGCTGCAAACTGAACTTGACCCCAGCCAGGGCTGGAGTCATTTTATCCTTGGCAGAAATGTGACTTCCTATTTCTGAGCGGGAAGGGGCTTAGCTGACTTATAAAGCAGGCTCGGAAGGCCTGGGGGACATCAAACACATCTTGCAGAGCACTATTTGGATGAGATAAGTGTAAAGGAATTAGAAACACACAGACCAGATTTCCCTCTGTTCGGGGCAGAGTGTGGCATGCGATGTATTGAGATGGAACTTGAGGTTAATTAAAGATGAAGCATTTGGGTAAACAGCCCAGGCACCTGACTGCGTGCCCAGATCTGTGCCAGGCACAGGGCCAAAGAGGTAAATTAACGCTGTGTGTGATTATCGAGCACGTGCAGTGCCAGGCTCCGTGTTGGGCCCACATCGAGCCACCTTTCCTAACCTAGAGGAACTCATCATTGAGATGTGCAAACAGTGAAGCCCTAGGTTCCTAGAAGGAACTCGGAGGTTATCCTGTCCAGGCCCCAAGCAGGCAGATTCAGCCCTGTTCTTACCCACTTCCCTCCTCTGGGCATCTTGGAGGATTGCAAACTCTCTCTCACTGAGCACTCAAACTTTTCAAGAACAATGGATAGGCTAACTGATTAGGTAGACATGTGCTGATGGGACAGCCAGAGCCAACGTGGGCCAGACATCTGCAGCCTAACTGTGCTGATCCCTGAGGACCACCCACTGGCCAGGGTTTGAAATGAACTGAACTTGCTGACTTATGTCCCAGAAGACCCGAGGCACATCGACAGAATTCTGCGTGGCTGGGGCATGTGAATTCTCTCATCCTAGGCTGGAGAGCAGCCACTCACACACTTGGAAATGATCTAGCCACCACCGCTGACATTTTGTCTAGCACATTCTGTGTGCCCAGACTCATAAAATGCCCCTGTTGTTTTGAGAGTATCACGTACATTTCTTAGGTCATTCACATTTGACCTTGAGGCAGGCAGAGAAGATGGATGGACTAAGACCCAGCAGGTTAAGTGACCCGAATGAGGTTAGGCAGCATGTTAGTGGTGGCCCCAGGTCCCGTCTCTCAGGAAACCTGGCTGAATGACCAAGGAGCTTTCTGCGGCCGGTCAGCATAGCCACGTCTTTTAGTCTTCCTCCAGGCTGCTCTGACACACCAGCAGCCAGTTGAAGGCAGGGACAGTGGAGATGTATGAGTCAGGCTGCGAGACGCTGCAGAGGGCCACTGAGGTCCCCTCCAGCTCTGAGATTCAAAAAATCTGGAATCTAGGAAGCGTGGTTGTGCTGACTGTCAAGTTTGCCTGTGCATTTGAAAGGCTATTAGCAAATTTTCCTCACACTGAGTGCTCTATCATCTACTTCCTGGCCTCAGCCAGACGTGGGCAAACCTGCAGGCTGAAGACCCTGGTCCCACCTGCCCAGCCTCCAGCCTGGTACCATTGTCACAACAGATCCCAAGGAAAGGTCCTCCACCAAAAGGAAAGCTTATGAAAAACACCATGAAGGACAAGAGGAGTTCTACCTGGGAATTGCAGCTTTGATGGCATCCCGTGTGGCAGAGAACAGAATTAGAGCTGGCGATAGTGTTTCGATGGCCATGGGATAAGATCCAAAGTCTTCAGCCTGGCACTCTAGACTCTCCATGATCTGGCCCTGCTGACCTTGCCAGCCACATCTCTCATCTCTCCCACTCTGTGCCTGGCCAGACAGAATCGTATTTGTCATTTCTATAATAGACAGGATGTTTCACACATGCCGTTTCCTAGGCCTGGAAACTCCCTTCTTTTATCCTTAGCTGTTCATCCTTTGAGGATCAACTCAGAGGGTACCTCCTCCAAGAAGCCCTCTAAGATTACTTTGTGCTTTCTTAATGCCCACTGATCAGGGCTGAGACTGCTCGCCTATTGAACTGTGAACTCCTCTATGGCAAGGGTCATGTGAATTCATCTTTGCATCCTCATCTGACACAAAGATGGCATCCAGTAGATGTGTAGCGAAGGAAGGAGAAAGAAAGGGATGAAGGAAGGAAAGGAAAGAGGCAGGCATTCGTGCTGCTAGTGGCATAGTCTCTACAAAGCCAAAGTTGTCTGAGGATGGACAGGTGCCCCTTCAGGTGTTGAGTTTCCTGTCAGGAGAAGTGTGTGAGTAGGGGCAGTAGGCCCACTGGCTGGAGCTATGGTAGAGAGTTGAAGTCTTGGCAAGGGACTGGGGTAGATGACACCGAGGGTCCCTCTTGGCTCTGTAATGCTCAGGTTCTTTGAACATTGTTATTTTTTGAAAAATTCATCGAAACAGCCAAAAATATCACCCAGGCTGGCTGTCTAAACCAATAAGGTTCAGGAATCAGTCCAACCCCACACCCCCGTTCTTCAACAGCCCAGCTGGGCCTGACATGAATTGGCAGTCTTGCCAGCTGCCCTGGGCAGGGAGACTTCTGGGCCTTGGGGGAGGACTGGACTGGAACCCAGGCCCCTGGTCCCAGCCCGAAGCTCCTTGCCTCCCTGCCTCCCGACCCCGCGGGAAGGAAGTGAGGAGTCATGAGAATGGATTGAGCCGCATCTGGCCCTTTCTGGGGAGCATCAGCATACCCTCACCGCCACCCACTTCCCCCCTCTCTCTAACTGTGGCTCTTCCTTTCCAGAAATACTTGGGTGATTCCTTCACTTTGCTAGGTGACCTTGGGCAAGTCCCTGCCCCTATCTGAGCCTCCATTTCCTCATCTGTCAAATGGAGACCTTGTTTCCTGCCTGGACTGTTCTGGGCCGATGGGCAAATGCCATGTACAGTCTTGGGGATTTATGAAGATGCGATGCCGCCCCTCCCCAGGCTGTGTCCAGCTTTCCTCCCAGGACCCACAGGCAGGCAGGAAAAGTGACAGAGTAGGGGCACAGTACCTTGAAGTGCCCCTCCATCCCAAGTCCCATTAGGGGGAAAGTGGCCTTTGAATGGGACCCGAGACTAAAAAGTTTCCAGTGAGGCTCTCAGACATCTTGGTCCCACAGTGGCTGAAGCAGCAGGGGCTGACTCTTGGCAAAGGGAGGTTCTAACCCAGAACAGGGAAAGCCAGGGCCCCTGCCCCATCCTGGGCCTCAAAGAGATTGCAGAAGGTCCTGACCTGACCTCACTGTGGGACACAAATGTCAGATCATAATGTATTTGAAAGGTATTCGTAATGCTGTTCTTTCAATCACCTCTTCCCTCACCTCTGTGAATTATCATGAAGAGTTCTTTAAGAATATAATAGAAGACAAAGAAAGATGCTATTAATGTTATTTTGCCAAAAATATTTTTGTAGCATAATATATTAATAAAAGACATTATGAATTCAACAGGATGGCGTCTCTGTGTGCTGACGGCTCCCCTCATCCTGCCAGAGAACATTTGGGAAAATTGCCTTTGTTGGGAGGGCCAAGACCTGCGGCAGTGATGGAGAGGAACCTGGGCAGGCCCATTTTTCATGCAAAACTCGGGCAGGTTCTGGGAGGGTGGTTTGGGCAACAGTCCAATGGCTCGAGAGGCCTCATGCTGAGTGGGGTCCAGATAGCCCTCTCCAGCCAGGATGAGCTGCCCACAGCCCTAGGTAGGAGTTGCTCACTTGAGCAACAAACCTAAAACCTGGGGTTCACCCTCAGGGCCCCCCTTTCTCTCACTCCCTCACTCCCCAAGACCTACTGATTTTTCCTTATTCATCCTCCCACCTCTCCATCCCCATTGCTCCAGCCCAGCCCAGACCTCTTCACCTTCCTCTGAGCCACTGCCAGGTACAGCTGTGCTCCCTCTCCTCTCTGCAGCCTAAGTGAGCTCTATAAACCACAAATATGACCACAGTATCTCCCCTTCTTTTAAAACACTAGTGAGTGGGGCCCCAGCATCTCTGAGAAGCCCAGTGATGGTTACCCTCCATAGGACTTGGGGTGGGAGGGCAGGTCACTGAGAAGTTGGAGTGGGAAAGATCTCTGTTCTGAAACCCCAGAGCCTACAACAGAGGCAAGTCATTGGCCATGGTTAGTGAGTTCTAGCTGGCTCCTACTAAGATTAATGGGGGCTGCAGGTGATGGGCCCGCCCCTCAAACAAAGGTAATCATGCAAATGGAAGCTAACATTTGTGGAGCATTTATTATGTACCAGACAATGTTCTAAGCATGCGTGAGTATTATTTCATTCTCACACCAACTCTATCTCTATTTTACAGATGAATGAACTGAGAGACAGGGAGATTTAGTCACTTGACCAGATCACACAGCTTGTAAATGCTGAAGCCAGGAGGGGACTCTAACAGACCTACGAGTATTTTCTTCACTTTAACTCAGCTTTGCTGTGCTCTTATGTGTGGGCTGTGGCCTGTGAGGTGGGCAGGGAGGCATCCACATCCCCATCTCACAGGCCAGGTAGGTGAGGTCAGGACCCACCCGAAGCCGAATGCAGTGAGCCTCTCCCATATCCTGGGGCCTGCGCAAACCTTTGTCCCACCCACCGACTCTAGATGGAGCTGCTGGGAAGCTTGGCCAGAATGGGCTTTAGGGTTGATACCAGTGGTGTGAGGATGCCTGCTGTGGCCCGTAGTCCCTGTGTTCTCTGTCCCTCACTAGCCGCTCTCAGGAAAGGAGGCTCCTGTCATCCACCCTCCTGGAAGCTCAAAGGGAGAGGGAAGCCTGGTCCTTCTTTGGGGTACATAGTCCTCAGTTCAAGCGCTCCCTGGAGAAGAAGTTGTGGCTCAGGAATGGGGTCTCAGACACGATGGAATGGGTAGCTGAGGGGACCAGGGACTCCTCAGAGCCCTTGACACGGCATGCAGGTGTCATGGCATGATATGGCATGCCTTGATATGGCAGCAGGTGGAAAGAGGGGAAACAAGTCTTTGCACCACTGTACCTAGTATATTCGAGTGTCTGCACCTTCTAACCTGGGAGCCCCAGTCCACCCCTCCTACCCTGAGTTCTGAGTTGGTTCCTACTGAAGTGCTACTCTGAGGAGAAACCAGATGCCCCATCTGACATTATTAGACCATTAGATTCAGGGGGACCCAATCTCAGCTCCAAATCTCTGTGGGGCCACCCCCAACAGGAGACTTCTCTGTATACCTACAGGGCTCAGAGCTAGGCCCATGGAGGAATCTACAGGGAGGTGGGGAAGAGCTTCTCGGGACCAGGACATGCTGCTAAGGAGGTAGGGAGTTCAGGTTTGTTGGAGCAGGAATGCCCTGGCCACATCTGAGTTGCCAGCGGACAGAGATAACAAGCTTGGACCTGCCAGGCTTGGGCTTCTGTGAGCTAAGGGGTGCGGGACCTCCAGAGCTCACTGAGTCTGCAGGAAGCCCTCCCACCTCATCACCACCTTCCAGGGCTGCCACAGCAGAGGAAACGCCCTGGCCTGGCTGAGGGAGCAGCGGGATTCAGGCTGGGCCAGGCTGGGTGGGGCAAGGGTGGGGGGCCTCCAGCTGCTGCTCACGGCAGCCAGCAAGTCAGCTAGACGGGGCTGGCCACTGTTACAGCATCATAAAAAGAAATTATTTTCAGAAAATATTCATAAAACCCTGTTTTATGTCAGTTCTGGGCTTGCAAAAACAGTTCCTGTGTTTTCTTTTTTAGTATTTTCCATTTTTTCCTCCCTGATCAGTCACAAAAAAGGAATGATAAAATTTCCAACCTGAAGACACAAGCCCCTAGGCAAGGATTGGAGACTCCCAGGCTTCCCAGAGGGTCGCTCCCTAGTTCTCACCACCTCCTCTTCCCTGAGACTCTGCAAGGGTGGGGGGGGGCGCTGAGCAGGACCCTAACACAGGGGCTGAGGAGAGGGATGCAAGAGGAGATAGGTGGAAGAGAAAGAAAATACACAGAAAGATGGAGTGGAGATCCCCAGAGAAGGAGAGAGGGATCAACAGAGAGACAGACAGAGGAGGGAGAGACAGATAGTACTGGAGAGAGATAAAGAGGAGAATAAAAAAGAATAGTTGGGGGCCAGCCGAGTGGCGTGTTGGTTAAGAACTGGCTTGGGATGCCAGAGGGCCCCGGTTTGGATCCCACATATGAGGGCCAGTGACACTGCCCTCTACAGCTAAGATGCTGAACAACAGCTCAACCTGGAGCTGGGCTGCCATGAGTCGCCGGCGACGGCGTAGGCTGCAGCCCCTGTGGCAGTGGGTTGCCATGGGCTACCGTGTGTAGCCAGCAGCCAGCGTGAGCGGCCAGCAGCTGCAGTGAGCGGCCAGCAGCCATTGTGAGCAGCCGTCCAGAAGCCGGCGAATGATGTGCCTCACCCGGGAAGGGCGCAATGATGGTGTCAACTTGGGCCAGTGAAGCAACGTCCTCCACAACTTGACTGAAGAACAAAAGGACAGCAACTTGTCTGTTCCCCTTCCCCCAATTCCCCAATAAAATCTTTAAAAAAAAACAAACAAAAGAGTAGTTGGAAAAGGCCAGGGTGGAGAGAAAGAAAAACACAGATGAGAGAGGGGCAAGGTGGAGGGGCAGGACCAAGTGGAGTTGGAACACAGCAGGGTCTGTCGAGAGCAAGAAGGCCCCAGTGTGGATTCACAGAGCAGGCTGAGCCTGGGACTAGGGGCCCAGGCAGATGAGCCTCTACAGACAGCTCCTGGGAGCAAGCAGCCTCCTCCTCCCAGTGAAACTGGAAAACACAGATTGCTTCCGAGACCTACCTGGCTCCTGAAATTCAGAAGAGCAGCCCTTCACCCTTTGCCCAACCCCCCACAAAGGGTCTCCAGGCTCAGCCAAGGTCATAGGCTAGTGGTCAGGGGGCCTGGGGCCTGACCCTAGTCTTGTCCCCAAGTGGTCCCTTTCCTCTCTCAGCCTCATTTTCCTCATCTCTGTAATAGGGATAATAAAAATACTTCTGGTACAGGTTGCGATAAGATTTTAATGAGATAGTGATGAAGATGATGAAGGGGGAGGGTATTTTCTGAGCCCTGCCTCCCCGCATCCCATGCCATGCCTGATCCCAGCAACACAATGAAGTCACATGGCCCCAGGGATTTCCCTCTTGATGGGTGGGTGTGGGAGGGCGCAGGGCAGCACTACTGGGGGTGCCTTGACAACAACTGACTGCAAAGTCCTCCTGCCTCACCCCCCCTGGAGCCCTACCTGAGCCAGACTCAAAGGCAAAGACCCAGAAGCCTCCTGACACCAACCCCCCCCACCTCTAGGAGGGTGCCACCTGGCAGCTGGCACGGCGGGGGGGGGGCAGTGCTGCTTGGGCTGTGACCTAGAGCTCCAAACAGGTGACCTGAAGAAGAAAGTTTTGAATGTGGGAGCCGGAGAGGTCCTGATTCGCCTTTGGGCTGGGCCCCTCATGGAACAGATAAGGGGCCCCCAAGGGCAAACTGGCCCAAGGCATCTTGGCACGTGCAAGGCAGAGGCAGAGCCCAGGTTTCCCGACTCACAGGGGCCTCTTCTGGCCTCAGTGCCCTGTGGCTCATGTGGATACAGGGCATTGGGCCAGAGTCCAGTTCACTTCCGTTTCCCAAACCGTTCTCCTCTCCAAACCTAAGCCTGCAGGGAGCCAGGCCCTAAACTCAGAACTAGACGTGTGTCCATTTATTTTTTTAAATTTATGCAACAAAAAATTACCGTGCCCTGCACTTAGAACTATGTCCTCTCTGCTCTCCCAGAGACTGCAGCGTGGGGGAGGCCAGACTAAGCAGCAACAACACAATATGTGATGGCTCCCAGAGGGGCCAAGGGCCTTCCTCAGGGGATTAGAGTTGATATGAAATGCACATTTGTTTCCTCCGTCCCTTCTTTCCTTCCTTCCCCATTAATCCCGCTGCCCTGGCCCTCTGCAGTTTGCCCAGCCAGTCTCCCCAGCCATGAGTCCCCTTCAATGCCCCCAAACAAAGAACTACACGGGGTTCCCTAAACAGAACCCCCCCGCAATTTACTTACTCCCGCTATCAGCCTCCACTGTGCCCTTCACAGCCAACTGCCCATTCTCCTTATTTTTACCTGAAAATTGTCTTCCTGCTCTCCAAGGCCTAGTTTTAATTCTTCCTCCTCGTAGAAGTCACCCTGGTCCCCCAGCCTCACACTTGACACCTCTTCTGAAGTCCCCGGCCATGCTTCATATGGATACAACCTTCCAGTATAGCTTCCTTATGTCTTGTGTGTGTTACGGGCCATTGAGCCAGCTCAGACTCCTGGTGACTCTATGAAGGAGTGATGCCCACAGTGTCCTGTCCTCAACAGCCCTGCTCAGCTCCTGTAGACTCATGCTTATGGCTTCTTTGTGGAGTCCATCCATCTCATATGTGGTCT